TGATCATATTAAGAGCCTGATTTTCCAGAAAATGTGAGATTACCCACGTCTTTATTTAATTATGATCAAATAAGAATAATAATAATAATGATATTCAAAACATTTTGTTCCATTGTGGTTTAATTCATAATTTTAATCTTCTGTTTTGAGGAGACAACTCGTTCGAATTAAATAAATTTCTACATGATATTCTTTCGATGTAAAAACATAAACAATCGAAATTAAGCATGTACACTGATAATAATACATAATTTTCCGTTGGTTATTTGCCTATGAATATATTTCATATTGTCCGTATGACTGTGGACGGAATTTGCACCCCCACCGCGCAGTTGGTTCGAGGCGTCATTAACTCCACTGGTTTTTAATATATAAAGGTTATCAGAAAACAATTTTTTATAATTTTTCAAAGAAGCAGAATTTGTTGAACTGTACTTCAAGAGCGAGGGAAGTTCTGTCGAAGTAACTTTGGACCAATTTTTTCTCCCACAAAATGACAGTCCAGGGATTTAAAGCTTCCGTTACATTTTCTGTTGTATAAGGACTGAAAAAAAATTAATTCTCTCAGATCAACAGTGTTGGCCAGAAGCCAGCTGAAAATCCTCAAAATCAGGAAAAAATGACAAAGTTTTAGTAGCCCACCATGCATTGATGATTTGTTCAGGTAAGGTACTTATATTTATTACTGAAAGCACACCTCTTAGCCAGTAAAATAAAATTAAATCCTTTCAATACGTGTTATACGTAATAATAAGTTACAGCCCACAACAGGGGAGTTTGAAAATGGTACAACTTCAGAATTCTAATGGGTCCCGATCGGAGTAAAGCATCCAAAAAAATTGCTCGAAGTTTATTTTGGCAGAATTTCCCTCGCCTCTGAAGTACAGTCCAACAAATGTCAGTTCTGTGAAAAATGACAAAATTTGATTTTGCGATTTTTGTTTTGTGATAACCTCTATAAAGTATAACCAATGGTGTAAATAACACCCCCGGCAGCCCCTGCGCCACGGGGGTGCAAATTGCAAAGGCCTGCTCTCCACACAAACGCCGACGATATAAAGTATATGTATTTAAACCCCATAAATGTACTCTTAGTAATTACATGCTTAACTTCAAATCTTTATGCCTGTACTTCGAAAGAATTCAAGTATAAGCACGTTCACATCACAAGCATCAGCCTCCACAATCATTTGTGTTAAATTTAATTGATTTTGTTTCCTTAAAAGCGACGAGAGGACTAATTAATCAATTAATTAAGCTACAATGCAGCACAACGTCGGAAAATTATTTTGGATGAAGAGCTGTTATTGTAATAATAATAATAACTTTATTATTATTAAATGTAGGTGGGCGCGACATTATTGTGATTTTTGAGAAACTGAGGTGAACTGTTCTTGATTTGCTTAAAAAAAAATAGCGCTGTAACACCTACATCCACAACACGTTTGGTTTATGAGTGCTCAAGACATCGGTTATGTAATTCACTAAATAATTTCACACATATTCAATATTATCATTGAAAATGTATTGCAAAAATATAAGTGGACTTACATTCCTTTTGGCAGCCAGTGACTTTTCATTAACTGAATCGAGAAGTAGTGTCCTAAGTGCCGTTGAGGGTACGAACTGAACATCTTAAACTACAAAAATTTTCAAAATTTACGCTGAACATTTTCTAATAACAGTATATCAGTTTGTTGATAAGGACACCAAATTATGTTGCAATAGTCTAATAATTTAGATTGTACTAAGATTTAATATAACATAGGAACACTAGATAAGTCTTACAGAAACCGTGGAGAGCAGGTCTGGTGTTGGTGACCAACAGTTTATTCCCGTGATTTGTTTATAAACAGTAGCGTTTATTTGGTTTTCTGATTAGTGGAAGTCTTAATAACTGATCATTTTTTCTGTGATTAAATAGGTATGATCTTCTTTTTTTAGGTGTAATCGTTGTCGATTATTGATAATTCCATTCCTTTGATCCATGCAATTAACTAAAGTTTTCTCTTCTTGGGAGTAGGTGTAATTTTCTGCATCGATGAACATCTCAGTTGATTTATTATCTAGACAATTCATAATGTCTGATTGTGATAAATCTAAGAAGGATGGACTTACAGGTTGATAGCGAATTTAAATTACTACAAGAATGCAACAGCTAAATGTGATTTGAAACAGTAGAAAATAATCTTTTATTAATTAATCTGTACCTGAGAGCGCAAAGTGCATAACTCCATTTTTACATAAAATTGGATAATGGGTATTTTTTGCTAAAAAATGTTGACGCTTTTTTGTCCAATTCAGGTATTTACAATTTTTTATTTGTTATATTCAATATTTTGTATTATATATTTAGAATAAGCTAATAATTTGTCTGGTATGTAAAACGAGCCACAAATAATTGCTCTCACTGAAAACTGACAATTTGGAGTAACGCACTTTGCGCTCGCAGGTACAGTAATAATAATGTCAAATCATTACTAAAACTAACGAATCAATGATATACATACATATTACTAAACCTGTTGATAGTGTAAAAACTCAAGGATTGAATGAATTGTCACTACAATTTGAAATTTTAGTTAAAAGATTATCTATTAAAACGCTGTATCTATTAATTTAAAGATTTTACAACTTGACGGAAAATAATTTGGTACTTAGAATAATAATTGACGAAATCCATACCTTATACACGATACACGGGTCTATTAATTAATAATAATAAATGACAAAATTAATAATATTTTTAAGCCGCGTCTAAATGAATTCAAAGATAAAGTTAGTAAAATTATTGTGTCATATGCAGATTGTGTCAAACCAAAGTCTATTATTACTCTCTTGTAGCAACCGTCTGTTTTATTTCAACCGAAAGATGCTAAATAAAACCTTGATCGTGAAATAAGAAATGTGAAAAGTGCAATTAAGTAGGGTAAGTAGCAATCTGGTGCAATGATGCAAGATGAAACCAATAAATGTCATGAAATTGCTGAAAGTAACAATTTACAGGATAAATATAAAATTAAAATATTAGGTACAATTTCATCCACGAATACGCATCTCTGGTTTATCTACAAAGTGTGAAAAGTATTCGTTGTGATTTTACATATTTATAATTATGGTCAAAATACTGACCTAATTGAAACGACTTTCTTTAAAACAGTCCATCTTGTACTTATAAAAAATTTAACCAGGGTATTTCAGGCTCTAATACAGTTTGTAAATATGTATTTAGAATAAAATAATGAAAGCTGGTGAATTGTTAGTGGGTCTTGATTACGATTATTGTTCCGTGCATGATGCCATTGAACTTTGCAGACGTTTTAAACATTGTGGTTTACATGCTTTTTCTGATAAATGCTAATCGGAATTGATGGTTTGTGTCCTGGACGATATGATACGATACGATACGATACGATACGATACGGAAGAGTGGGAGGCAAATTATTTAAAATGCAGCATTCTAAGAAGCACAGATATATACGGCTCATGCTATCTGAGAAATGTCCAAAAAATTTATTCAATATTGCATCTTTGTGATTGATTTGGAGAACATATTTTTCAATTTAATAAGTTATTTTTGTTTTTACTACTCTGTAATTCGAGTCAATGTTACTTTTATTATTACCTAGCTAGTTTCACATTGAAAAATTATGTTAGTGTATATACCCTAAAATGCAATTCAGGCGGTTCATTGTAGGGATGTTTAAAACTGCCTAAAGCTCGAAATTGAAATCGTTATTGTAAACAAATTTATTTGTTATAGTATTTTACGTGGCGAAGTAAGCAAAGTAGTTTTTTACGAAGCGAGCTCTTATTTGAAACGCGAGCAACGAAGGAGTAAGCGGTTTAATTTGAGTGAGCGGAGTAAAATCTTTTACTTCAGAGAGACGTACATCGTTTTATTGTTCAGCACAGTTAATTAAAAAAAAACGAAAAACAATTCTGTAAAAAACTTCTATGACTTGATTTCAAATCGTAGCAATAAAAGTTTGTTTACAACGAAAAGTCGACTTGTAACGGAAAAATCGGCGTGTAAAATTCAACCTGGAAATCTTGGTTTTCTGTGTGTCTTCAAAATTGTCTAAAGTACGATTTTATAGGGTGCTGAATAACAATAGTTATTTTCCCGAAACCGTCAAGAAAAACACTTCCACGCCTCCTTTGAACCTTGAAAGTTGACCACTACTATACCGGCAGTGTAAAGATTTTGCTATACACTTTTACAATACTGTTAAGATGTTACGGTACTTCTTCCAATTACAGAAGTAATACATGCAATCGAAAATGCGTTAATTTTTTATGGTCCCATAAAATAATCAATAATAATCTGTCAGTTTCTTAACTTTTCTCCCCTGAACCAAACAGAAAAAACTTCATAGGCATTTTCATATACTTCCTGTGCTTTTGTGGGAAATAAATCTTTCACTAGAGTCGCCGCAGCCTCCGTTACATCATAAAGAACATCTTCTTGTTCGAACATACCGAATTTATTTTGTATCACAATTCACCATTAATGATAATAAAAATTCAGAACTCTCGTTATTGTTTATTTATGTTATGTGCCATGGGTACACAAATCAGATGTTTTCCACACAATAATTTTACTGTGGCAAACAGTTTAAAAATGGGAATTTGAAATAATTTTTACAATTTGCGCGGTTTTAGGAAAAATCGTATATAAAAGATGTCGTGCAAGTTTAGTTATTCTATAGGATTCAGGAGCTTAAAAATACCGGCCTTACGGCCTCTTACTTTCAACATGCTCCTTCGTCTAGTAAAAGATAACTTTGATGACTTGTTATGTAAAAATATTTACGTCACTAAGTTCTAGGTATGTTATTAACAACTTAGCAAGTATCTCGTACTTTTCGTATCTGAATATTTCTTTTTGCCCACAAATATCCTACAATTTTAAATGACATATTTATTTGCATGGCGGACTCGACACATTTTCACATGAGTTTTACATAAACACATAAATCATCGCTGCTATTTTTTACCTTATATTTTCCAAGGTTGCTCACTGTACAAGAAAGTGTAGCTTCTCTTCCCACCGGAGTTGTTAAATTATGTATAGGAGCTAAAAACTCGGGTTCATCTGATATCCTAGCAGTCGACCAGTCCTCTGAAATAAACATAGAATAAATTACTTTTATAGCAACTACCTAAAATTTTATTAATAATACATAATTCCTGTTTCAGTACAAAAATAAACACGTGGCGTAGGTGTTTTTGCGAGACGAGAGAATAAAAATTGGTAAGGTTTACGTTTGGTTTGCAAATTTTAATAAATTACGTGTAACGTGAGAGAATTTCTATTTCCTTTCGTATATAATGTTCGGTTACCGCAGTTCAATCGAGTGTAATGATACGTTTGTATATACACTAAGTGCACACATCAGATTCAACGAGAACATGTTTGTACAAACGATCAAAGATACGCTCGGTTTGGCATGAGCACATGTTCATATTTGTAATTTATTGTAAATTGAGATAGATAGATAAACAGGGTTTGCTTTACTGCAATTGATTTAGAATTTCAGAAATATTTAAAGAGGTAATTTTTTATTATCTGCAGTTTACAATTTATTGATAAGATAATTTTCTAGAGAAGGGTAATACTTTATAAAACTAGGATATGTTTCAGTTCAGATTAATGATCAGCTCTTCAAAAGGAATGTAAATTGCAAATTTGGCTATGCTGTTTGTGTCCAGACGACGTCGAACCCGTTTAAGACCTTTCCTTTAATTGGAAGGTCCGCAAAATTTCCAGTATCTGCACTAGGCTGTTAAAGAGTCACAGTCGTAGGTGGAAACCCATATAAACCGCCTCTTTAATTCTCTTCGTCGATCGTTAAATAGTGTTCCTTATATTAGTTAGAATTTAGGATAAAAGTGGTTAAAGTGGCTATTATTTCATCCAACAAATATCAGGTATTTGACACCTTAACAATTATTTTTTAGGTTGCACAATTATTACATATTAGTCATATTACACATCACAAGTATACACAAAATACAACAGCAAAATGCGGATACAGGTCGACATATCAAATTAGTTCATACTTTTAACGTAATTAAATTTTATCTGTAGGTACATGCTTTCAAGAAACTAGATTGTGTCATTTCAAAAAATGTTAAAATATGTGTATAAGCACAGATGCCCTAATTTAGGGTCCTGCCTTTGTTTTGATAGCACAGTTCTATTGTTTTATTAATGTATATTCTATATACAGGGGTATTCGCGAGAAGCTCCACGCCTACAAATTTCAAGACGCGATCAAAAATAGAATTTCAAAACCATCTTTGATGTTTCATACCATTTTTTTTTAAGTAAAACATAGCCATGTGTTGTGTGCAATAACACTGACGTAGTGTCAGATACCATCATGTTAAAACTGACATTTTGTCAGAATTGATACAGAATGTGTTTGAAATGACGAAAGGGCTAATAGCATTTTCGAATACGGCGAGCGCTTCACGGTTGTGTAGGTAGAGAACATAACAGAAGATGCCCTGACAAGCTCTTGTTTTAAATTTTTTGCTTTTAATATTGACGTAACTATTGACGTTCAAAATTTGTTGCGGACTGAAATGGTTGTCGTAAGATGGCGCTGTCATATTTTCGTTTTAAAAATATTAATTTTCTTTATTTATCAAACGTTCTGTTGAACAAAAACTTGCGTTAATTGTATTTCTGCCGACATACTTTATTATTTGTAGAACAATTTATTTTGTAAAAGCTTCTTAAATCTAAAAAAATTCGAGTTATTTTACCGCATCGCGATGTGGTAAAACAATGAATGACTGTAAAACCGTAGTTACCGTGGACATCCACCGTTCAGAAATGAGCTCTTTACAGATCGGGAGGCCAGAAAGGATTTTTAATGAGTGCTTCTGCAGCGCTGGTGGTAACCTGGCAACTACCTACCAATAGTGTTAAATGTCGTCTTAGGTGCATATCAAGCTGACAGCTATAGAGTTGCTTCACCCTTTATCACCAAGTTTGGCCCACAAGTCGAACTTTTCGTCATTTTTAAACAAATTTATGCTCTCAGCTCGAAAACTTCCTTGGAACATTGACAATGGCAAACTTTGTCTTTGTAAAGATAAACAAAAAAAAGGAAACAATGTAAGATGTTTCCCGGTTGCGTGCCACGAAAACAAAGAAACGAACATGATGTATTATGTAAAACAATCGATAACAAGTGCGATAAAAACCTTCAACTCTTGCCTTGTCATGTTTCACTTTTATTATCCCGCCAAAAAGTCGCAACAATAAAGTGGCGTTGATGCAGAATCCTGTTTTATATGAACGGGAAATGTGTGCAAATCAGAGTCAGTGACGCACAAAAAGTAAATGAAGTGTAATATTACCAATAACACATCTGTGGGGATCATAAAAAGCCGATGTCAAACTTTCGAGAGCTTTCCCGAACGGTAGGCTCTACGGGAGGGTTATATAAAGCCCACTCAGACCAAAAGGACTAAATATCTTTTACAATCCATGAATTCGATACGATACTGATTTGAATTATGTGCACGACAATAAAACTTTAGAATGCCCAGTCTAGATTTTTCTTGTAGCAATTAAGAGGCAACCTTCTACTGATGCGGTTAAGAGTGTCGGTAATGCTGACTGGAAGTAAACGGAATTGTTTAAAAAAACGTATTTGGCCGTAAAAATAGATCTGGAAGAATAAATATACTTCCAATGGAATGCAAATTAGTATAAATAACGAAGTTTGGACATTCTCATTATTCGTTCAATATTAGATGTATTTTTTGACGAAAACATGTTTAAATAAGTAATTTTCAGCTAATAGAACTGACGGTATTAAAATAATAGGTAAATCGTATAATGCTTTAAATGTTACGAGTATCGAAACGGACACGTACATAACAAACATGAGCAGGACATGAGACTGAAGTTCGAGACGTCGACTAGATACAATACCAGTGGCGGCTCCTCAGAGGAGGCAGGGGAGGCTGAGCCTCCTCTGTTTTTTGGAGCTGAGCTTCCTCTAATTTTTTTCGATGAAAGAATTTATATTTTTGTAGACATTTGTTATTTTTCAGAATATTTTGCTGGATTTCATTTACTTTCATCATATATCAGGTTAAAATGTCGCAAAAATTTATATTTACGCCCTCACAATCATAATTCACATTCACACCACTCCGCGTTTGGTTTCAGCGGCAGAGGCTTGTTAGCCGCTAGCCTCCGCCGAGAATGCATCTTGCTATTGAGACCGTAGACCTTGACGCATCGTCAGTCTGTATTGCATTGGCTAAAACGTTCATGGGACTGCCGCTCCAAGCCGCTAGCCTCCGGCCAGTTCATCTCTTTTCAGATCAAGTCGTACAGATAACTTTATCTCTTTCTTATTAGTTGGCGCAATCGGGTGTAAGTAGGAAAAACTTTGAGGTGGTTTCGCGAGCTCCCTGTTCAGTGATGGTGATGTTTAGGCTTTACGTAGGTAAGGGTACAAAAGGGGAGACCAACACCATCACTCCCATTAATTGTATTGACAGTTACAATTAGAAATAAAACAGAGCATTTCATGAAAATAATTATAATAAAACTAAATAGTTTACGGCTTCGGTTTTAAGAAACAAATTATACTGTTGGAATTGTGTATTATTTATAAGTGATAAATCTTCCGTTTGGGGTAAAACAGGCTAAAATAATTTACAAAATTTGTCACGAGCTATAGAAAGGCATGAAAAATCATAGGACCACATATTTTCTTCGATTAAATTAGAAATGCTTGTAAACAAAACAATGCCAATCATTTAGATTCGGCTCATAAAAGGGAGAACTATTACGAGAAAGTTGGTGAAAATTGGGCAATTTTGAAAAGACTAATCGATGCAAAAGTTTATTTATCTATCAACGCACGAGTGTTCTTTTCGTGGGCATGACAAAAAAAATATTCAGATAATGAAAGATATAAAAAGTAGTGCTTTTCAAATTTGAGCCTCCTCTGAAGAAAACTTCACGAGCCGCCACTGTACAATACATATCTAAGTTGATGCACGGGATGCGAAAGAAATGGACTACTTAAATATATTTATAGTAACTATATGTATTATAAGACTTGTTTCTAATACAAGTTGATTATGTTATGAAGTGCATGAACACCGCACATGTGATAATTGCATGAATACTATAATACCGCATTAAAAACGTACAGTATTTTGTAGTCGACTAGGCCAATCGGTCAGGTCAGTCAGGTCAGGTCTGAAAAATCGATTAACGAAATTTTGATATGAAATATGATTTCTCGAAAGCGAGGATGGTTGCTAAATAATACTCTAGTTACTCTTCAACTAAACAAACAGGAAAACTTTTACAAAGCAACAACATGTGCAAGACTTGCAAAAGTTTTATCCATCGAAATGTTGGAAAAAGCTTAGAAGCTGAGTCAGTGCAATAAATAAGAAGTAGTATAATTTTGAGAGTGAGTAGGTAAGTATTTTTTAGGGAGGGGGCTCTATTATACCGCGTGTCTGGAAAATGGCGGATTAACTCTTCAGTATGTTATACAGGGGTTTCGGGAGTCCCAAAAAAATAATAAAAAAATTCTTTATGATGTAGATTACGAAAAAAAAGTAATTTTATAAAAGTAAAATTGGCAACTCAGCATATCCCTAATGCTTGAATACCTCCGGTTTACTTTCTGGTTTCTTAGTATCGATGGTGACTGAAATCCACCTTCGCTTTATATCAAGCAAACATTGTTGTCAAATGGAATTTTATCAAATTATTACAAAAACAACACAGCCATATCTTTGTGCATTCTAACCAAAATGGTAATTAAACATGGTCATTTGCGAGGAAAATATTAACTAAAAGTTTTATTACTAGTTATTGTGATAATGAATGAGTTGTTTAGTTGTTAAACATAACAAAAGAACCAATTTTAAAATCATTATAGCTCCACCAAAATGTGGGAAGGATTTTTTTTACTATTTTTCTCAGACTCACCAGTTGATTGTTAAGAGCGTAGCGGGGAGTTAATCAGCCATTTTCCAGACACCCGGTATAGCGCTACCCCTCATAATGTTCTGTTCTGAAAGAGTTCTGATACGCCTATAAATTGCATCCTGAACTTTGTCAAG